GGAGAAGTGCCTGGCCGGGGGCTCGGGGTCCGGAGGCAGGGGGGGCTGCCCAAAGCCGGTAGCGCTGGCTCGGGCAGCCCGGCTCTTAAAGTCTGAGAGGGGAGGAGCGGAGCAGAGCAGCCGCGGGAGAGGAAGTGCCCCGCCGGCATTTTCCCGGACATGTTTGGCTTTTCGGCAATTCCCCCCAGACGGGGGTTTGATTGCCGAAAAGCCGGACATGTCCGGGAAAAACCGGACGTATGGTAACCCTAGCTTTATCCCATATTAGTTTAAGTAAATACGTGCTTTTGTGTCATGTTGCAAGATAGACAAAACAAAAACTATTTATCCTTGAAGCCTTGGGAAGTATCGCAGATGTTTCCGTTTTTCCACCATTTTCTTAGAAGAGGCTGGCTTTGGGCATATGAGCTTATTCACTCAAGGTTCTTTGAACAGTATCTGCAAATGCCTTAATATATACAGTTATCCCCCCTTAGCCCTGTGTTTGCTTGATGTAATTGCTTTCTGTAACCAAAACATTGCAGGAGGAGGGTGGGAGGCGAAGAGGATTTTGCTGCATCCTTTAATTATAATGGGAATAGTGGAGTGTCAATCTTTGCAATCTAAAGAAATAAGGCAAAAATCTGCTGTGTTACACTAGTGTAAGTAGTGCCAATGTGCCCTGAGTGTCTAGTACTTGTAATGTTATTTTATGCCTCCTGGGCCATTCTGTGTTCTGCCTTGCAATTCCAAATCATTATCTGTATCACATGAAAAGCCATTTTAATAACAGTAACTTCAAATGAGGCAGTGTATCAATCCTCTTTTGTTTAGAATAGCCTAAATTATTTTTGGGAAACTGTTCTGTGCTAGTCAGGAGGTCAGACTAGATGATCACAATCCTCCTTTCTGGTGTTAGAATCTATGAATCTATTAACTGGGTTAGGTTTAATTTAGTAGGGCTTTTTACTTTGTCACAAAGTTTGAAGCCCTTCCCCCTCCCCCCCGCCCATGTTTACCAAGTGGGTTTCTGAAATGATTATTTGGTGGTGTTAGGGAGCAACAACTAAACTACTGTGTTGCTACCACCCGCTGAACACATTTCAGTTTCAGCTCACATCTCCATGGCAGTATTGCTATACCACCAGTTATATGGCCAACTTTTCTAATACTTGCATTCTCTAGGCTGCTTCGAGAGTGCAGAATTCTGTCCTGCAGGAACTAAACTTTCTTGTACTGCTCTATTCAAAGTGCACTTCTCTAACCTGCTTTCACAAGTAAAAGCCCAGCATCCCATTTTTAAAAAAACTAACAGTGCATCATTGCAGCATACTCAGATACCACAGTTACAGGTATGCTATCAGAACCTGAACTGAATATAATTAAATTGGATTCCTAAATATAGCTATCATCCAATTCCCAGCAAAATAAATTGGCAGTCATCAAAGAGAATGGCTGGTCAGTGTGTGGCTAATGGCAGGACTTGTGATTTGGTCACATTGACCTGGTAGCTTGCTATTTTGGTGAAAACCACAATTATTTTCAATGTTCTTCATTTCAAAAGGGCAGGTTCTAGGATTAGTAACCATGTCATCAACATTTCACTTCCACTCATCATATAGAAAACCTTCTTTTAGGACTAAATATTTGTTTGTACCTACTTGAAGAAGAGATAGGAGAGTAATTTTCAAAAAAACATATTTCCTTTTTGCTTTCCTCCAACAAAAAATGAATAGTGGACACACTTGTGCTTCTGCCCAATATATGCTTGCATCCAAGTACTTAAAATTCCAAGTACTCAGATTTTGTGAGAACTCCATTGCAAGAGCAAAATTTTAATTTTAATTAAATAAAAAAAAGAGAGCCACCTTTTAGAATATTAGGAAGCAAGCATGTTTATTGGAGCTACCCTTTCAAAAAGTAGTAGTGATCCAATGCCCCAAAGTTCATGATATTGCTACTGCAGTGGTTTGGATCACTACTATAGAATATTTGTGTCTAGTATTTGTACATGTTCTTCACTGATAGATGACAACCCTCATGAGCTTTGCAGTTAACTTTAAACTTGCCAAAGGAACTTGAAACTTGAATACATTTATATCAAAGCATTTCACCACTGCTTTTTTTTTTTTAGCTTGTAAAATATGTTGAACTGTTATGCAGATTGTACTAAAATCTTAAGATGAATCTTCTAATTAAGCCACCTGTATCCAGATCCCAGAAGGGCTTCCCTTCAGATCTTCATATTGGGGGAAACTCTGTCTAAGCTGACCTTAATCGTTTCCTTTGTGCTTCATTTAATTTAAAATCCAATCTTGTCTTTGACAGATTACCACGTCATTGAGACCCAGACTCATCTGAAAGTTTCCAAGGCAGAAGCAAAGTCTATCCATACAGACATACTCAGTAAACATATGCCTGAAGGAACAGGCAGGAACATTCCCAGAAATGGTAAAGAACCAAAGCTAGATCTTCAGCATGTATAAATTGGTATAGCTCCACATACGTGCAGGCAGCTAAACCAATTTACATCAGTAGGGTATCTGTCCCTCACTGTTTACATCCTTTGCCACATATTTGCAGTCTCTTTTGTTGTGTTACGTCAGTCCAGTTTGATCAAAATAATTCTGTTCTTCTCACGACAGGCCAGGCTGGAGCCTTTGGATTCTTCCACAGAGTGAAGTCCCACAGATTTTTGTCTCTGAACCACATACTTGTTTTCTATGCAGTTCTGTAAGTGAACAGTTTTTTTACCAAGACCATCAGAGTCTCCTCATACCTTTATTACAACAGTCTTACAACAGTGTTGATTTCAATGGAGTTGCACCCCCGCCCAGTGTAAAACTAGAAGCATGTTTAAAAGTCGGTTTCTTCATTCCTCCTTGTTTGTGTACCAGTAACAGGATTTTACAGTAAAATTTGTTCTGCTGCATAAAAGCCAACAGAAGAATACCATTTCTTGTGAACTTTCTAAATTGCTCAAAGAAGTGATCCAGGGTAGGTGTGGATTTTAAAGCCTATGCCCTATAGAAACCTCTAAGGTGATTGTGACAGCTAAGTTTAAGAACACTACATAAATGTCCATCCAAATAACAATTAGCACTGCTGTAGATTCTAAGGATGAGATTTTTCAAAGCTACTTGAAACATGGGGGCAGCAGATGAATTGAGTCCAATGCTCTAAGGCAGCTTTGAAAATCCCACGCTAGGAATTGTACAGTGTACAAATAATAACTTTATTCATTGATTTTTAAAACAACAAGTATTGTCAAACTTCTTTTCGGATACATCTGTCTGAGGGTGCTATTCTCCAACTAACGCAGCTGTCTTGTCATTTATTTTTCCCCTGCAGTGTCTGTGTCCTAGTCTTTTCTACCTTCTACATGAGATATAAAATCAATGTTCTGGAGGAACGGCTAGTCTCCATGGCTTCCTTTGTTGACTCCCATATTAATGAGTAAGAAGGCATCATTTTTAAAGGAGAATAATATTCTTCTGTTTTACACACTAAGCCCTGCTGGACACTTATCTTCTTCAAAACCTCATGATAATTGACGACAATTTAGTGCTATGCAGTTCTTGAGCCTGCATTAGTCTCATCTCATAACTTCCTCTGTTTCTCAGGAGCATTGGGGTACTTCAAGAGAATTCAGGTATAACCTGGATTTAAGCAAATTTCAGTTAATTGGGAGTAAAGGTTATACAGAGTGTTATGGGACAATGTAGAGTTGTACTGTATTCTCCCTTCAAAGAGGCATATTTCAGAGTTCCTGAAATTGGCTGATTTGCAAAGGAAACCTTTATTCTCCAGGTGCTATCTGGCTAGCTTTAGGCACTTCAAAACCTGCAGGCAGGTTCCTCTGATTGTGTGCGTTGTGGGGAAGAGGGTTCCTGAAGTTTTGGGCTACCTTCATCTTCAGGCTACACCAATCCTACTGCACTAATACCCCATTTTGTGATGCAGCACAAAGAAAAGGGGAAAAGTTGACTCCCTCAAGAATCTGGGCTGCTCTGGGTGCCAGTGTGGCCATCATCAGCATAAATTAGAGCAGTCAAAAGGTCCTTTAATTTACGGCAGCCTCCTGAGGGCCGCCTATAGACTGCTACACAGTTTAGAGCAGGCTGGAGCCCCCATAGTGCTGTGCACTATGGACCTGCCTCCTCCACCGGAAATTGTTACGGCCACTTATGGCTGCTGTGTGCTGTGCATTCACTAGGGGAATTTTCCCATGACCCTTGTGGCCCAGTGCCATTCCCTCAATGTTGCAGCAGCGTGCAGAGCTCAGGTCAAGGGGAAAATTTGTCCCAAGTGGCTGTTTTCTTGCTTCATAGACTTAGGCCTGATCTATATTAGAAGGGGTTTGCTGATATAGCTATACTGGTATAATTATATTGGCAACCCCCCTACTGGGGACATAGTTTATATAGACAAGAGGTTTGGTTTTTTTGTTTGTTTGTTTTTTGGTTTTTTAAGGTATATCTTATACCAGTTTTTCAAATAAAATAAGCTATACCAGCTCAAGGACTCTTTTGTCATTATAACTGCATCTACACTAAGGCTTTATCAGCATAGATATGTTGGTAGGGGCTTGATTTTTCCCCCCCCCCCCCCCCCCCTCCCCACACTCCTAACTGACGTAGCTCTTCCAGCAAAACTTTGAAGTGCAGACCTAGCCTTAAACTGTTACATATATTAATGGGGTAAGGGGGGGGGAAGTAGATAGGAAAATACAAGTAATTCAGTTAATGTCAGTATCAATAACCTAATCCACTAACTCATGAATATTTATTCTTACTGACTAGTATGTACTATGAATATGTCTATATTGCACTAAAAAACATATAAAAGGTCAGATCTAATAAGCATTTATTTCTAGTGCAGCCAATTGTGGTATTCAGGGATCATTCAATGCTTAAGGTGCTTGCAAGAGATCAAGTTTATTCTGTGTTTGCTTCCAGTTGGCTGAGCTTAACAAGAGCTTCAGGGTGCCCCACCCAGGCTCTGTCTGGTAATCTCAGCCATTGAAGGCACAGTCCCCAATACCACACCAATAAACTCTCATCTGCACTTTCAGGTGGTTTAAAATAGATTTCCATGCACCAAAACAATGGCCTCCGTTAATGGAAAAGGCAATAAAAAGTAAGTAGTGTGTGGAGAGTTTGGATTAACCCTTGGACCCTCCAAATGAACCTTCACCATCCTTGGTAAAAGGTAGTGAGGTACATAGTATATTTTATAAGCAACTCACTAACCCTCCTGAGTTTCTTAAGCAAACACAGGGCCTGCTCCTCATTACAACATAGTTCCCTCTCCAACCCCATTTCTTAGCACCCGCTATGGCTGTTTTTAAAGACAAAAACAAATAACATTTCCTTTGCCAACCTCACTCTGTACCTACCTGTTGTCAGGAGCCAACCTAGTCTTCAGCACAGAGCAGCTGGGGGCTCCATGAAAGTCTGACAATACAGATTTCCCCCCAGGCTCCTCCTACACTCTGTCTGCTGCAAGCACATGATTCCCAGGCTAAGGGAAGGAATGGGACCCAGCAGCAGGGAGACAGTTGTCCTTAAGAGAGCCAATTAGAGAAGAAATAGTTATTCCATAGTGGATCCAAGCACAACTTGCTTCAGCTAGGGCTCCTGACCCACCACTGGTCTGAGCCCCAGAAACTTAAGATCCTACCCAGACATAGAAACGCCTAGTCGCTGCACCAAAACCACAGCTAGTTGGGTTCAAAGGTGAATATAATTGGGGAAACTGACTAGTTTTTTAGGGTTACATTCAAGAGTGGACTATATTCTCTCCCTCGTGATTTGTGAGCCTTCCTAATCTAGCATGCAAAAAATTGTTAAAAATCAAATAGTAAACCAGAATGCAAAACTACAACAGCAGGTGTTGTACCCGGAAAAGCTGACAGTCAGCCAGCTGGAGAAGCACCACCTGAAAAACAAGCAGCCAAAGAAAGCAACAAAAGGCTAAACCTAACACAAGGCAGTGCCATACCCAGAATGGGTGGACCTGTCTGCAAAGTATTGAAAGGGCCCAATCTCTTGGGTTAAGTTACGTTACACTTCAAACTCCATTTTCCTGGGGGAGTCATCCATGACAAAACACTCCCTGACAAAACATTCCAGGCCACTTAGAAAAACTATTGCACCATTTAGGGTCCAATTCTGCTCTCAGCTACTTATGCAATTTCCACTGACAGTGGGGATAGTGTGCATCTATCAGAGGGCAGAGTTAGGCTCTTGATGATTAATTTAAAGGAGTAGGAAGGGAATAATGCCTTATCTTAACTGGAATGTCTGGAAGGCTGTTCATCCACTGGTTTTTCCCTTATTTAGAGTTGTGTGAGACTGTTAAGGCTCCTTCAAACCACTTTGATAATGGAGGGAGGGTCATTCCAATGTGGTCCAAACTTTTAAAGGATAGAGAATGATCCTAATGTGCACTTTCCACTCTTCCCCCCCCCCCCCCCCCCCCCCCCCACCTACTTTGTTTGGATCCATGTCATAAGACACAAGCATACTTACAGAAGGATTTTACTAATAAAAATGCTTAAGAATTTCCATCTTGGTTTCTGTAGAATTAGTCTGGTAAAGAATGTAGTCTGAGGGCACAAATTACATTACAGAAATACTGTGCTAAATAAGTATCGTACTAACAATGTTCCCATTCAAATCCTTCATTGCTCTCTTTATAGAACTTCTATTACATGTCCTCATCTTCCCTTTCCTCCTTCACATCTCGTTCTTTTGTTTAACAGCCAACCAGTGCAACAAGGCCTGGGATCCCATCTGCAAATTAATGCTGATGCCCTCTGTGGTGAACTAACAGCTAACCTCATAAAATTGGAAAAGGTAATTTATTGAGATGAATAATATTAGGTAAGTACTTAAATGCCCAGTACTCAGGATACATGATGATCACAACAGGTTTTTGTCAAACCACTGATGCTTCTTTCCCAAAAGTACTAGACCCTCCAAGATTTGCTTTTGTAGATCTCGGAACAGCATCTCTGGAAGAGTGTGCACCACCTTCCTGAGGTGAAACAGTTCTTGGACAAATGCATAAATTAACAGTTAAGCCTGAGCATGTGTGTCAGTATATGTGAGTTCTCCTTTATGAGAGGTTGAGAGATCAATTGCCATTTAATTACTCTGAAACCTCCAGTGATTTGTTGTGTTTATGATCAGTTAATGACCTTCATTTTTGGCTGGTAAGGCAACAGACTTTTGATATTACCTTTCTTAGGTGATATGTTTCTCCAGTCTGTTTTGTCCAAACAATAAAAGCTGCTGGAATGCCAGTGTCCACCTACAAAGTGGGTGTTTAGTAATGCCTGTTACTGCTTAGTAACATGAATGCACCAGCCATTTGTTCCCTGCAGATGACCTCTTCTGCAATTAGTAAATGGAAAAGAGAACTAAATGTATTTGCTATCCCCAGCTGGAAAATCAAACAAAAACAAGACTAGGCAGGAGGTATATTTTCACTCGGTTACATTTACATTTTAAGTGCAGTAAACTGATAATTAAAACTAAGGTGTTTTATTTTTTTCCATTGGCCCAGCGTGTAAGTTGTATTTCTACTGTAATAACCCTTTATTTGAATTCCTATATACTACAGTCACATGAGTTTTTGTTTCTAAAATGTTGACAGCTTGCCAAGGTCTTTAATACAGTTTGTTTTTCCAGAGCAAACTTTTCAGGTTGCATGTCACTGAGATTATTTAATATCCCTGCTAGCTATATGTCAAAGGTTTCAGAACAACTTTGCTACCAAGGAAATGGGGCTTGATTCTCTCCTCAGTGTAAATCTGGAATCATTCCATTGACTTCATTGTCAATGTTTACTAGTTTAAAAGTAGTGAGTGTGAGGAGATTACTCACTATATGGTAAGATATATTCAGAGACCTGCAATCTTGACCCAAGTACACAGGCCAAATCATTACAATGGGATTTCTCATATAAAGACTAATGCTTCAGTTCAGCAAATCACATGAGCATGTTCTGAAGTCTCATTGATTTCAGTGGGATTTGAGCCTATGCTTTAAGTTAAATGCTTTGCTCAGCTGGGGCCAAAAGAATTGAACCTCTAAAGAGACCTTAACTATGCGTATTTTCACAATTGTATTGTAAGTTGGCAGCAATCCAATGGTCCTAGTGTCCTCTGAGCACAGGTTGTTGCATACCAACACACCTCTCTTAAACTGGCACTCTTCAGTAAAGAGTTGCTAAACCTTAGCAAGCATCTAAGCTAACACTATGGAATAATTAGCTATTTGTTTGTGAAAATTGTACTACTGGGTTGGCATTCTGCTCTCATGCTAATTTTTTTTAGATGAGGAAAGTTATTAGTCCTGGTACCTGTACTTAATGTATACTTTCCTCTCCTCAGCACATCTTCCCCATAGACTTGGAGAAGTCTGGCCTTAAACCTACTCTCAAAAAGCCTGTTCAGAATTTGACCTGTTGCAGTGACCTCTTTTGAATGTGATCTTGTGGTTCTCACAGCTCTATTGAATTCCACACTTGTGGGCCACTGAATTCCTATTGGCTTAGTACCACAATATCTAGCACTTTTAAACTATTTTTGATGGGCTTCATACAGTTTGGTTGCCAAATGTACCAGATGTATCCACCAGACAAGTGCTTGAAATGAAAAACCAAAAGGACTCGTGTGCCTCACATATATGAGCCCCAGGATCTCGGTTGACTCGTCCACCTCTTCTGAGAAGGGAATAAAATTAAAATGCAGGCACTAGATAAATTTGTATATATTAACCTGGAAGCAGACTTCATTTTTTTTTTCTTTCTATTTCTTTCTTCCTTTCCCTCAGTGAACCCATCCCTGCTTTTTTTTTTTTTTTTTTTTCCAACGGGTGTGTTTGGTGTGCCTCAGGGAAGTGTGGGGGGGGCATGATAACATGGCTTTAAGGTAACTTTCCCCGATCCTGGGTCAACTGGGGGCTGGACTAGGCATGGCATAATCTTAGAGCAGCCTTAAGGCAGCTCCATATTACACCATCTGTAGCCAGTGGCTATGGCAGCTAAGGCTCTGACAGAACACCATGCGTCCCACCTTGACATGCCCTATGCTAAAGTGGGGAGAGAAACAGGAGACATAGAGCTGGCTAAGCTAGCTTTGCACCATCCAATGGTTCCCTTGGGTAGCATTTTGGCTGCTTTGCACTGCCTTCAACAACACAAAGCAGCTGGGGCAGAGAATAGAGCCCAGTATCTTCTCCCTGGTGCTGGCTGCCACCTTACTTCTCCTTAAAGGAGTAGGCTAATTTCTGGAATATGGAATGTTTTACTTCATGATCTGTAGATTGTATCCTACTGTCCATCGGATGAGGGGAAACCTATCCTGTTTGAGCTCACCAAAACACTCTGAATTTCCCACTTTGAAAAACCAAAAGGCTTTTGATAAAAATTCTGTAGATGTTTTCTTGAGATTTTGGCCACATATAAAGATGGTCACCATTTTTCAATTATCAAAAAGATCAATTATGAAATTTTGAAAAATTACAACATATTGATTAATCACTTTAAAAAGTTAATGAAATTAATTACTGGGTTTTTTCCCAACTCTGTTAGTCATGGAATAGCCCTGCTCTTTCACTAGCTGAAACTTAGTGGAAGAGCAGAACAGCTACGGAATTTACCGAAAGTGCTCCTAAGTCCTGACACCTCAGTTCCAGCTTTCCAACTGAGTTTGTACCTGGACAGGGCTGTCCCTAGGTGGGTGCGGGTCCAGGACAAATGTGACAAGTTTCTAATCTGTGAGGGGGGGGGGAGTGCTCCCCCCGGCTCTGCCCAGGACCTGCCCCCACTCCACCCCTTCCCCCAAGGCCCCACCCCACCCCACTCTTCCCTGCCCAGTTCCGCTCCCTCCCCCAAGCACGCTTTTGCTCCCTCACTCCTCTCCCCTCCCCCGCAGTGCCTTCTCACACCGTGAAACATCTGATCCACAGCAGGCAGGAGTCACTGATTGGCGGGGCCCACCAGCAGGTAGGAGGCACTGTGGGGAGGGGGAGGTTCTGGTAAGGGGGCTCCTCCTTGCCCGCCCACCTGCCTGCCACTCGCCTCCCCATTTGCTTCCTCACCCCACTCATCCTCTTGCCTCACCTCCCCGCCCGCCGCCTCACGATTTTATCGAAGTGCAGGGACCCTCCAAAGCACGGGGCCTGCGGCGGTCGCCCCGATTTACCATACCCAAGGGACGGCTCTGTACCTGGCTGATACACATGGATGTTGGGTTGACTTCAGGATAGCAACCATTCAAAAGGGCATAAATAGCAGTGCCAGAATTAACTGGTGCATTCAAACTTGCACTGAAGAATGCTTTCTAACTGTGTGAATAGCAGTAAGTTTATCTGAACCTTCTGTTCTTCTTTAAGATACAAAACAACTTACAAAGGCTACTTGAAGATGGTGACTGAAACCTTCATGTTCTGGGCTACTTCATACCTCATTCTCCTGTGTCTGATAAGCAGCCGCAAATACTGCAGTGAACTCTGCAGGCTGGAGTTCGTGTTCCGTTTTTTGAATCTAAAGCCACACTTCGACTGCTGCAGTAGCTTCTCCGTCTCAAGAATCTGGAGAGTAGTTTATTTTTGTGCAATAAAATATATCTGTGTATTCTGACAATGTCTTTCCATTGTTTGTCTCTACTGATGTGTGACTATGTGATTTTTATAGTTTGGGGCCAAATTCAGTTCTTGGTTACTCCAGTGTAAATCTGGAGTAACTCCCTTTATCTCAATATTTGTTTTTCGTTTACATGGATGTGACTGAGCAGAATTTGGTCCTGGATGTACAGCTACGGAACCATTATGTGCAAATGCTTGTTGTCTTTCAGAGAGAGACACCTGTCTCTCTAATATTACTGTAGTTATTAATAAACACACCATTTTTAGTTTTCTTTTCTTCTGCCCCAGTTCCCCAGAATCTATGCATGTGTCAAATACCTTCATGTCTGGTCTCTCTGGGCCTGAATCTCTGAGGTGCTGAGTGCACTCTGCTCCTTATGTGCCAGATTTTCAGCTGGTGTAAATCAGCACAACTCCATTCATTTCACTGGAGCTATACCAGCTGAGGATCTGGCCCATTGACTTCAATGGAAATTGAGTGCCCAGTAGATGACAAGATTAAACCCTATGCAAACGCTCACAATTTCTACAGAATACCCCACCCACTATGAACTGTAGCTTCTGCAAACTGTTTACAAGGATAGCAGCCCAGTGTGCCACCTAAACACAGTTTAAAATATCCAGTATATTTTAAATCTATCATTGTAACACAGTTTGCTCAGGATGCCCTTCAGTGCTAAGACGCTGTCAGCTTTTCAAAGGGTCGCATGAGGTCTTAGCTGTGCAGTTCCCATTCCAGTTACTGGGAGTCCCATAGCTAATTTGGTCACAGAAGATCCCACAGAGTCTATCACCCTTACACAATGGGAACTGGCAAGTTAATGAAAATACAATGATAGAAACTATTTAATTGGAGTGAATAGAAGGAAAAATAGGTGTCCCTCTTGTTACATTGTTCTGTTGTTTTCAGAGCCTTAAATGATGAAGTAACTCGTGATTTTAACTCTTTGGTTTACCAAGTGGGTTGGTTGGTTTTCATGAGGCAATATTTAGGGTAGCATAAGATAGAGCCTGTAAGTAAACAGATGTTTATATATGCATTTTTATAATCATTTCTGTGAAATGTACCTTATTTTGTTTAATAAAAAATAAACTGTTTAAAAAAAGTCTGATGCTTACATGTGGAATGTACAAGCAAAATTGTAACAGTTTTATACTATAAACAAAGCTGATGTAGGTTTTTGCAATCAGAAATGTTGCTCTTACTGTGAATCCATTTTGTGCCTGTAAAATCTGTTTTCAAACCACCTTCTAACTAATACATCATACTACACAATGCAGCTAGGGCCTGATCAAAAGCCTGATGCAGGCCATGAGAGTCTTTCCATCAGGGCCGGTGCAACCATTTAGGCGACCTAGGCGGTCGCCTAGGGCGCTAGGATTTGGGGGCGCCATTTTCTTTGGCAGCGACCGCAGCGGCCGGATCTTTGGCCGCCCCGGTCGCCGCCGGCATTTAGGCGGAGGGAGCTGGGGCAGTGGACCGCGGGGAGGGCCGCCTGCAGTGGGGGGGCGGGCGCGGCAGGCAGGGGAACTCCCCACCCCAGCTCACCCCTGCCCCGCCTCCTCCCTGAGCACGCCCTGGCTGCTTCACTTCTCCCGCGTCCCAGGCTTGCGGCGCCTAACCTGATTGGCACTGCAAGCTTGGGAGGCAGGAGAAGTGAAGCAGCCATGGCGTGCTCAGGGAGGAGGCGGAGCAGGGGTGAGCTGGGGTGGGGAGCTGCCGCGGGGGGGGGCCCCAGGGCGGGGGCTTGGGGGCCGGGGGGCAGGGGGTAGCGCAAGGTGGAATTTCCGCCAAGGGTGCAAAACATCCTTCCACCGGCCCTGCTTTCCACTGAAGGCTTTCATTCAGATTCTTAGTGTGGATGCATTTTTCCTCATCTCCGGGCACTGGAGAAGATCCTCAGCTGCTGTAAATCTATGTAACACCATGACCGATTTACACCAGCTGAGGATCTGCAAGAACAAATTTTATAGTGGGGATGCTGCTGATGGAAACCATGTGTTTGTTGTTCTTCAAGCACAAGGGTGCGGCAGCCCCACCAGCACCCCTAGTTCTGGCACCACTGAGCATCTGGCCCATATTTGTAACATGTTGCTGTGAACCTTGGGTAAAGCTGTGCCTGAAGAATGTGGGACAGAAGCCTCTGTCGCCCTCAGCCTGTAGGCAAGGTACAGCAATCTGCACAGCTGAGCCAGGGGCCAGTTGTATATGGTGCCCATTGGGCACCTCTCCCATTCAGTGGATCTGTTTCAGGTTGATGTGATTTCCCCACAAATACACACCTCAGTGAAGAGAGCACTGCAAGGCTTTGCTCTCCAGCATGCTGGAAGTTAAGAGTTCCACACCCCCAGTGGCCACTTTCCATCCCATCCTAAACACAGCATGGCAGAAGTTCCACTGAATGTATTCTTTGTGGCTGTAAAGTTTCTGGGCGGGTCTTTCCTATTTACTTAGATGTATAAAGCAACAGAGAGTCCTGTGGCACCTTTAAGACTAACAGATGTATTGGAGCATCCACTTCGTCGGATGCGTGTCTGATGAAGTGGGCATTCACCCACGAAAGCGTATGCTCCAATACATCTGTTAGTCTTAAAGGTGCCACAGGACTCTCTGTTGCTTTTTACAGATCCAGACTAACATGGCTACCCCTCTGATACTTAGATGTATAAATATCACAAGTTGTGCAAACTGATAAACCTTTCCCCACACAACTTTTCACCTCACATTCCCAAAGATGAGCCACATTCTACCCTCACTTATGAAGTCAGTGGAGTTCCATGGGTGCAATGGAGGGCACTAGCTGACTTCCGCCAGTGAAATTAATGCAAGGGACAGGAGAGACAAGCTAGGGCACAGTGCAAGCTAGGGCACCGCCGAGAGCTGTCCTAATGTGATTCCACTGCTGAGGATTATGGCAGTGAGGAATTGCCAAAACACTGGATCTCCACAGTCTTATCTCCTCTCACCCTAACACAGCCTAGTCTGTCCCACAATGGCCCCTGGAAACACCTGGTCTATGAGAGCTGTAGGCCAGCAGTAGATCCGGGCCTCAGAGTTTGCAATATGAAATGTGTGCCAAGGCTGGTAATAGTTTTCTCCATGACGTTACTTGGTGAGATGCCACAACAGAGATTGTACTAAATTTTTGTTGCCTCTTGAGGCAACTTTTAAGTAGAGTTGGGCAAAAAATCAATTTTTCGG